GACTTCTGAAACCCTCCTAAAAGTTAAACTTTTATAGCCCAGATAGAAACCCAAAAAGTTAATGTCCTAAGAGTCAGCCTGAAGAACGCCGAGCGCAGGATAACATCCTAAGTTTGGGAGGCTGGTACATGGGTAGGTCTCTAAATTAAGGTCGCTTTTAGGCTCCTTTTTCTAAGGGTGCCGTACTACATTGGGGACCCAAAAATTAAAAAAGGACCCCCAATTTAGAGAACTACACACATGGGCAGGAAACCCTAAACCCTAAACCCTAAACCCTATACCCTAAACCCTATACCCTAAACCCTAAACCCTGAAGGCCAACAGGATCCCCGCCACTCAGAGCGCTGTGTACTGCACGAAGGGAAACTCAATTCTCAACTCAAGACCCCGAGAGCCCTCAAGCCCTAAACTAGCACTAAACCCTGAACCCTGCACCAAGAGCTTAAACCCAATCCCTGGTATCCTAAAAGACGAGGGTCGCCTTTTAAAATTCCTGTGATTCAGTCCGAAGCAGAGGCAAACGGGCAGTGCTGAGGAACCTGGCCAAATCCTAAACCCTAAACTGAAGAAGCAAGGGTTTGGATGACGTCACCCCTGAACCCTAAAACCCAAAACCCTAAACCCTGCAAGGGTCCTCTTCGGCACTTCTTTGCCGGCGGGATCCCAGTAAACCTGTAGGTCTTCTTGGGGTTTAGGGTTTAGGGGTTTAGGGGTTTAGGGTTTAGGGTGCTTGCCATTGGGCTGTGGGGTCTCGGGCGTGAAACTCGAAGCGAGGTCTGCAGGGTGTTGTGAAGTTTTGAAATTTACTTGGGGGGTCGGGGGGCTTAGTAACTAGTTGTTGCGATCCGGTATTATCCGCTTGCACACCACCTAAGCGGGCACAGAGTTGAGCCACGCTTCTTCGAGGTTGTGCTTCGTAAGGTAATCCTCACAAGTTAAGTTGGCGTGTCGCGGCGGTGATGGGTCTCTGCTAGGCCCAGCCTCCGTTCTTTGGCGGCCTGTTCATACGCTACCGGTTGGTTATGTGCATGTGCACGGCTATAAAAGCCTTGAGAAGGGTTATGGACCAAACACTCGTGGGAATATAGAGCCTACATTAAAAAAGGAGGACCAGCTTTCCATGAACCCCCTCGTCTTCCCGCCCCGCCGCGTAGACAGATGCCCAAGAAGTTCACAAAGTTAGCAACTTTGCACTGAACCCAAAACCCAAAGCCATACGCAGTCAACCCTAAACGTCGCATCGGGGTTTAGGGTGTCGAGGATTCAGGGTTCGCACGCAACCACAGCAGCAAGCCATAACTGGACCCCAAGACCAAGCCCCATCACAACTCCAAAGCCCTAGTTTAGAACGCAACAAGAAGCAGTGGCACTTGCGTTAGCAATGTATCGCTTTTTGGATAATAAAACGCCTTTAGCACCCTACACATTTCCGCCCCTAAACCCTAAACCCCAAAGAGGCAAAAGGACCATCAACAACGGCCCCATAAAAAATCGTATAACCCACGGCTACAAAGGGCGCTCTGCAGCCCGTAACCCCTCAACCCTAAGCCCTAAACCCTAAACCCTAAAACCCTGAGGTTTGCGCTGCTTTGTTGTTCGCCTGCGGACCAGGTGGTCTTTCTGAGCGTCGGGGGAGCTCCAAGGGTTTGGAAGGTCATCAGGTTTCAGGGTACTTGGAGGGTCGGGGCACTTAGTAAGTAGATATTAAGTAAGTTATAAGTGCCCTAAAAGGGACCCTAAGTGGGGTTATAGTACTTATAAGTCTATAAAATAACTAGTTACTAAGTCCCCCGACCCTCCAAGTAATGTGGGGGCCTTAATTATTAGAATAGGGTTTTGGGGTCTCTTATACTATTACTTATAATCAGGAACCCCCGAAATAGTACAGGTATTCCCCAATAAGCCAGGGAAATAAAAGGTTAAACTTTCAGGTTACTACTAATATACAAGAACCCAAAATGTTTAAAGGTTGGGTATTGGGGAACTAGGTGAAGGGTATGGGGCACTTAGGCTTTAGGGTAAAGGGTAGAGGGTTTTAGGGTAAAGGGTATTAGGATTTAGGCTTTTGGGGGTTTGGGGTATAGGGTTTTCCTGTGTTTTAGGCTTTAGGGTAAAGGGCACGCGGGTTTAGGATTTAGGGTTTGGGGTATAAGGTTTTCAGGCCTAAGGGTATTGGGTTTTAGGCTTTGGGGTAGGGGGTTTCGGGTTTTCGGTATTGAGGGTCTCGGGATTCGAGTGTCAGGTCCCTAAACCCAAACCCTAACCCGCAATATAGGCGCCTTAATAATTGCCTATATTATTT